CAAGCCCCCATATTAGCTTTTTTTTTGTCGTCCGGTAGCCATAAACCACAACCATTTGTTCTAGTACATGCCAAAACATTTAAGTCTTTCAGCAATTGATACATTTTTAAATTTTTTTTTTGAAATTGCGATTCTTACAATCCTGATGCAATACACAAAATATGATACTTTAAAGAAATTTTAAACGTTTATTTCTGATAAATCAATTGTGTCTTTAGTTGGTAACTAAATTTTTCTTTAAAAAATGCAATTTTCGCTTGTGGGTGTCCTTTGTACTGAAAGAATATGTTATGGTGCATCACCAGTGCAGTTAAAAAGAAATTTTAGAGGGAAGATTTCATTTATATATTATTTATATATTATGTAAAAAATAAGCTGGGCAGTTTACATTGAAATAGCGCGTCATTATTATTACAAAATATAATCTAAATATAAAGATCTTGTAAATATATTTGACGTTGTTGGATTTTTTAAGTTCATTTCAAGGCAATATTTTTACCATTTGAAAACATAATGATTGCCAAAATAATAAAATCTTTTGGCATTGAAGACCAAAAGGTTGTGGCTATATTTGCCGGAAAACAAAATATGGTAATATAGGGAAAATGTTGTGGCTTATGGCCGCCTGCATTCCCCCATTTTAAGGAGTGTCTTTTTATATTTTTCATCCATTGAAGCTTACATCACCTGATTTAGTGCCTCCCCCCACCTTTGCAACATTGTACCCCCCCTGAAACCTTACGAAAATACATAAATTTAAGTTTACATAGTTAAAAAAGGTATCAATATTTTAAAATGTGTCCCCCTACAAATGCTCTCGTACACTCCTATTTGTTATAGTTATTATATTTTACAAAGAGAAGATGCTCATAAATAAAAGCAACAATTGAAACTTCAAACACAAGATGGCAGCAAAGCTTAGAATTCTAATTCTATATATAGTCATTATTAGAAATATTTTCTGGGACAATGTTGTGAGTTATTCTACACCACTGTTGAAAGATAAGAAATTCATCTCATCTTGGAAAACTTTCAGGACCTAACCAGTACCAATATAGTAGCCCGGTCTCCTTTAACATTTTCTTAAATAGGATCAGAACAGGTTTCCAATACAAGATGAGAAAAAAAATTTATTAATTTTTCATATTACTTTGCTGAAAGATGTGATTGAAAACGCACAGGCGCAAGGAAATCACATACATTATTCGAATTTTTTTTCAAGTGTCATTTTCATGTGTTCTTGCGCGGTGCAAGAACGCACGTTTTTGCTAAATAAAATGATATTTTTCAATTGAAATCAAAAAGAATATTGATATATTTAGATCAAATAATTAGGTTCCTTGGTTCAGTATTTACTAGCTCAGGAACCCAGCTTTGCCTAGAGATTTAAGTTAAGAATATTGATACATTTAGATCAAATAATTAGGCTCCTTGGTTTAGTATTTACTAGCTCAGGAACCCAGCTTTGCCTGGAGATCTAAGCTAAGAATATTGATACATTTAGATCAAATAAATAGGTTCCTTGGTTTAGTATTTACTAACTCAGGAACCCAGCTTTTCCTGGAGATCTAAGCTAAGAATATTGATACATTTAGATCAAATAATTAGGTTCCTTGGTTTAGTATTTATATAGATATATAGATAGTTATATAGATAGATATATTACCTGATACAAAATACGTTTTTCCTCATACTCTGTTCCTGTAGTGAGTGGGTTTGTTCTACTGTGCAAACTGAAATTAGTTCTCCTTCAAACATTATTTGATTGATTGAAGTTTAAACTTTGCATACTAATTTAAACTTTTTATATTAATGTTCTACTTCAAACATTATTTAATTAATGGATATTATAACTTTTCATACTAATTTAAACTTTTTGTATTAATGTTTTAGTTCAACACTATTTAAGTAATTGATATTAAAACTCTTCATATTAATTTAAAATTTTCAAAAAAAAGTTCGGTCTATGTAAAAAAAAATCTCATTTTTTAGATTTTTTTGACCATTAATGCTATCGGTCTAATTTGTTTTCAGCTTGCCTTGAAAAATTTAGCTATGAACATGCATTTCAACCCTATACCTATTCTCTGAACTTTTTATTCAGAAGATGTTTTAGGGTTTCCAATCGGAATTCAGATGCCCGGAATTGCACACAATAGTTTCTTCTGCTTGCACCATGAAATTGCGCTAAATTGCACTAAAATGGCGAAAAAGAAAGCAATTAAATATTCACGGAATTGCACGGAATTGCGTGCAGCGGAATTGTTTTTTTCATCTAAAAATCAATATTTTTAACTGTTTGACTTACAAATTTATGCAGCAGATACAAGAATTGAAATATCTCTGTAAATTTTAAAATAATCGAGGCCCAAGTTTCACTATTGTTTCAACAGTTTTCAAATTTTTAACTTTCTATTAATTTTTTAGTTAATTAACAGTTTAAAATGATACATTTTTCATTCGTTGAAATTGGATAAACATTGAAATGGAAACTTTTTTTGGTTAAAATTGTAAGGTTTGTTTAATCAAAATTAGTTATTTTGCTACAGTGAGAACCAGAAAACTATGGAACAGAAGGACAACATAGCAAAAAACATTAAATAGTATCTTATTAAATCACTTATTCAGTTAAATTGGTCTGATTGAGTCTAAAATGTCGTCTTCCTATTCCAGAGTTTTCTGGTTATCATGCTGCACGTGAATATTATAAAACAAAAGATTAAGCTTAAATTCAATTTTCTTAGAATTTCAGATTAGTTCCCACTTGAAATTTGTATGTTCCCACTTGTTTCCAACTATTTCCCACTAATTCCCACTAGTTTCCCAGTTGTTCCCACTAGTTCCCACTTGAAAATTGTGGGTTCCACTTGTTTGACACTTTTTCCCTCTAGTTCCCACTAGTTTCCCACTTGTTCTCACTAGTTCCCACTTGAAATTTGTATGTTCCCACTTGTTTTCCACTATTTCCCACTAGTTTCTGACTTGTTCCCACTAGTTCCTACATGAAATTTGTATGTTTCCACTTGTTTCCGTAGCTGTGTCGACTGGATGGCTCAGAAAACGGGGTATACAGCACAAGCTCAACCCTCTGACAGTTTTATAGGACATAGAAACAGCAGAACACGATCCCGAGGACTCCAACAACGGCAGCTGACAGGAGGAGATTATATATGAGAACCTTCTGATCCTTCTAATCTCCAACACCTAGCTTCAGGAGCACCAGTTGGAACTGCTTGGTCCCCCTCGTCATGCTTCTTGTGAGCCACAGGACCACTGAGCCAATCTAAAGAAAAATTCATTAAACAAGAAATAAATAAAGAAAAAATAGTCACTAAAGGAAAGGTAATAAATAGTTATAACTGGCTTATATCTTGGAATTATTCAGTTAATCATTCGATCTAGTTTAATTTGATTTTATTTCTTTAAATTCTCAATGATTTGTGAAGCAATTCTCATTTTAGCGAGAAAAGTTTCAAGATCTGAACATTTTCTTTCTTCTTTACAATTCATAATCGAATAATTTAGATTGAAAAGATTTCAAACAGAGCTGGGAACTTTTGAATGGTGGATATCAGAATTAATCCTTGATCCAATCTTTTTCTTGATCTCGAGATTAAACAATACTTGTTCCAGACCAACTAACTGATTAGGATTGAAGATATTTCATTCATAAGTTTTCAGCTCAGAGTTAATAAGCACATGTCTTACCTTTAAATTTGTCCCTCTCTGGATCTGTCACCGGAACCACATCAAGCGGGTACGTCTCCGGAGCAACAGTTGTAGAAGAGTACCATCTCTGCCCAGGATATTCTCCGATAATCATCTTGAAAAAGGAAGACAATATTTACAACAACAAGAATAGAAGAAGAGAAAGTAGAAAAGAAAGGTCCTGTCAGGATAGAAGATGGAAGAAAAGTGCCAGGCAAATGTGTTGAAAAACGGTTGTCGGCCCGGGAAACAGATAAAGTATCAGAAAAGAGCATGAGCACTACTAGCGCCATCGGGAGGAAATAGCATTACTCAGATTACTGCTTTTTTATTTTTTTTAGTGTGATTTGGAAGCTTAAAGAGAAATAAACATCCCTGTCGAGCGGGGTTTTGTGCATGGTGGTGAGTACTGAGTGCTGATTGGTAGAACCTGTGGCTTCGTGCAGCCAGCCTAATGAATCAAGCCAAGAGTCAGGCAGTTGAGATTTACCAGCCTAGCAGTTTCCATACCTCCATTTCGCAGCCAAGCGTCATTAGCCCCCCGACTGAAATTCTGGAACCTTCCTAAAAAAATTCATAATAATAATTTTTATAGTTAAATAAATGTGCATATATCAATTCATAATAGTTCTTAATTCCGCTGATTTTTGGTTCCTTTCCGGAACAATTTATGTTTGATAACAAACACTGAATTGGTGACAAATCAAAACATAAACAAACCTGCCAGTTTTCTTGTGACCCCAAAGCTTGAAGGTTAATATGCACCATATTTTTATTTTTGCTGTGATATTTAATGAGCCTAAACTTTAATGTTTCGCCCAAAATGCTATAATCTCCAATTATTGATACCCTAGATCTTCTAAGACTAAGAGAAAAACTTTTATGTATTTTTTGACAAAAAATTGTCTGCAAAATTGGGTAGAACTTTAAACTCTAAAGTTGAACAATATTCAAGCTGACCCAGAGTTGAACTAGGAAGAATTGTTTGAGTACGAGAATATATTGAAGGGGTTGTGGAATCTAAGTAGCCCTGCCTATCATCACTTCACCATTCAATTGACCAAATGTTTTGTATTTATCATTTACAATAATATATGCAAAAGTATTTTTAGTTTAGTTTAGTAAGCCAATCTTTTATGATACTCCCAATTACCTGAATATTTTGTGGATCCCCTCTTCATGATCACAACTTTAGATAACAGTTGTATCAGCAAGGACAGAGAGGTTAAGAAGATCATATGTACCCTATATCTAAAGACTTCTCAATTATAGATACACCTCATCATAATAAACTCTATTTATTTATTTATTTATTTATTTATTTAGATGGGTCCAAAAATTATAGATAATTTAATTTACAAGGATTTGCATCATAATTCTCCAACTGTTGAATGATCCAGACCATGCAGATACTAACACGTTGATGAAGATTAGGTTTACGACCATCTTCATCCTCACAACCACATTTACAAGGTATAGGAAGCTTATAATTGCCAGGCAGTGCAGCACTTGTTACTCCAACTAGAAATGTAATTAAATTTCTTTAAATTTCTGACATAACGGAGTTGTTCAGGCAGAATGTCATAATTATTTACTTGAGATTTTATGTTAGTGACAAAAATGCATGACAAAATGCAAGACTGGTGATTAAGGGATTTCTAATAAAGAATGATGTTCATGCCTTGAACAAACTTGTTGTCTATCTTAACAGCAGAAGGACTTCCGGAGTTTCCAGGACATGCACTTCCAGTACTCGGCTTTATACACATCATAGATGGGTTTTCAATGGATATATTACTTAAATAGATACAGTTTTTCATTTTCATTTTTTTTCATTAAAGATCAGTTAAAATTCACCTTTTAGCTTGAAAACTGTTTAAATTATACTGCTTGATTTTTTTTGTGCATTCATCCTTGGACATCAAGTATGATTGAGCTTCTTTTAGCCTGTTAGTAGAATAGGGAGACATCCAGTTTTTGCTTTCCTTTACAAAAAAATACATTCAGTAAACAAGATAATCACTTTATTTCAGATATTTTAGTACTATGAAGTAAGTCTAATAAAAGGAACTAAGTTCTTGCCACATACTTTAGATTCTGTTAGCTTAGGTAAACTCAGTTGAATATCGAATGTTTACACCTTTAGGCTGCAAAGGGATAAGAAATTTGACTTTGTGTTAGTAATTTAGTTTCTTTGTGATTTAATTTCTTTTAAAATAGCCAGTACCCACCTCTATATAGTTAAAAATCCAGTTCCAATTTTTGTTGCACTTGGAACATATATTTTTTAATTCAATATTTTCTGTATTATCTGGAGCTAAGAGCACTTCCCTAAATATTTTTGCAGCATCCTCAAGAACAAAAGAAAAAATTCTTCGTTTGTATACAGATTCTTCAATTTTTTCTTCTAGTTTAGGTTTCAGAAGCACTTGCATTTGTAATGTTAGTTCATTTTTACTTGCATTGCTTATGCCGGCAGGTTTCAAGAAGTTCATTTTTTGATCATAGACCTTTTCAAAGTTTGGGTACATCTCTTTAAACTTTAAAAACAGCTTTTTCAGAAACTCTTCTTCTTTCTTGGAATCAATCATTCCACTTGTTGTGTTAACTTGAAGTGAGTTTAACATAAACTCTACTGGATCCAGCTGCGGTTTTGTAATTATTTTGTTATCAGTTAGTACTTTACTAAGATCTTCATCTTTCCCCCAGCCTAGTATTAGAGCCTCTTCTCCTTCATTAATAGCAGTTTCTTTCTGTGTTTAACCTATAGTATGCTCTAAAATTCAGCACACTGTCATATTGTTATTCATGCATTGTTTTGAGGTTTGTTTTTACACATTATAGTTTTTTTTGGCTTAAATGTGCTCTTGTAGAATCTGCTTGAATTTTGCTTTTATTATGCATAAAGCAACATTTTTTTCTGACCAAAGATATGATCCAAACCAATTTTTCAAAAGGACTTAACCTAACCTTTTGAAAAGTTGTAAAGTTTATGTTGATTATATGGCCACTATTATTTAAAAAAAGAAAGAAGTAATATGTAATACCCTGATTTTTTAAACTGTGCCGGAGTTGGATAATGGATATGATAAGTTCTTATAGGTTTTATTCCTGAGGCAGGCATATTGGTCCAACATTTTGATTAAATTCTAAAAGATTAAATATGGGAATAATTCATTATGTCAATCAAAATGTTTAGCAAAAATTATTTTGTAACAATCAAAATATTGGATTGGGTAATGAAAACTCAAAAATTAATAAACTCACCAATATTTTCAGTTATTACTATAGCAATGTCATATTCAAAAAGAGATAGACCACCATTATGTTTGTTATAATTAGGGTGAATGATATGTTTCTTTATTTTCACTCTTTGCCCTTCCTGCTTTTCATGGACCAAATCTGCAAATTCAAAATCAATGTTGTTATCTTCTCACAGAGTCATATAAACAGTCCTTTTAACTATGGTCATAGTCATATTAATAATTTCTATAGTAACTACTATAATCATGTTCAAGTCTATATGTATTTAGTATAACCCGATATAGGTGTTTACCATTGATACCAACAACTGCATATACATCGGTAGGAACTGGGGGATCAAAACAATGAGCAGCAGTCAATATAGCTCTTGGAGATATTATTGAAGCTGAACAAATCTGGCTGAAAAAAGAAAACAAATGTTTTGAATATTTCATTTCTTTTGTTATTGACAAACCTGCCGTTTTTTTCTTGCAAAGAAGCCATCCAGGGATATCTAAATTAATAAATTAATAATAATTATGGTAATAGACTCTTTATATTGGCACTATGTCATTTGTCCCAAAATCATTTGTCCTGCAAATCATATGTCCAACACATCATTTGTCCTACAGGGTGGGGAAAGCTTCATTTTTCCTACACAACATTTGTCCTACAGAGAGAGAGAACATCATTTGTCCTACACTGCATTAGTCCTACACTTCATTAGTCCTACACTTCATTAGTCCTACACTTCATTAGTCCTACACTTCATTTGTCCTATACATTACTTGTCCTACAGAGTAGAGATGTCAACGTTTTGATTTTTCTAGATTTTAGCTTTCGTTACGATAGTGTTCATCAAAAGTATTAACGTTTGAAACGTTACGTTGCACATTATGAAATTTTATGGCATAGAGTAACGTTACGTGATGAATTTTCTGCACTTGAATACCATATACAACGTTAAGCTTTAGTAAATGTTGTAAAAAAACAGTAAGCTCCGTTACGATTTTGCATTTCCCGCATTAAAAAACTTTCCCAACGTTGCGTGAAAGCTTATGTAATAAAACCACAATTTTTTAATGTTCCACTTTCATGCAAGGTAAATATTTTCAGAGACCTTACGTTACACTTTCACTTCGTTTAAGATCTAAAAGATGACAAACGTTTTGCTTTTATAAAACGTCATTGGGGCATAGTTCTGTACATTACAATGCATTTCAGTGCAAAGAATGTTTTTTGATAACGTTACGTTTTATCTTAACTTTTCCAATATAAACTCTTTTAATTACGTTTAGAAATTTTACTAAAATGCACCTTTTCTTTCGTTACGATTTATCAAAACGTTATTGTGAAAACTTTTTTGTTACACTTTTTTACAACTGACAATCAAAACTGTTTATTCGTTTCGTTTCTAAGAAAGATTTGAAAAAATGTTCTATACGTTGCGTTGTTCAAGCCTTAATGTTTCTAACGTTAGACTTTATTAGAATAATATTGTTTCTAAATGAAAGCATTGCAAGATTTTTTCCGTGATAATTACATTTTTTAACTGTATGTTGCTGTTGTATTGTTAACCTTTTTAGAGAATGTGTAGAAGAATATGCATTATGCAATATAAAGATGTTATAATATTATTATTTTTAACGATTTTTAAAATTTGTAGATGAAAGTTTTTAGCATTAGACTTTCAACTCAAAGTGTGTCTTTAATGGACTAGAGACGTAATTTCAAGTGACCTTCCATTTATGGAGTCGCATGTCCAGTAGGGGTGATCAATATTGGAATAGAGCCAACTGCCCACCGGAAGTCGCTGCGTTTTCACCGTAAGGCTACAAACAAAAATTTTATTTTTTATTTTCATGTTATACATCATTTTCTTGGAAATTCAATGCTAAATTCAAATCTAAAAAGCGTTTTAAAAAATTGAAAATTGAGTGAGTCACAGCTAAAAAAACTCATCAAAAACATTAAAAAGTTATAAAACTGGAATTTAGTACCGTTATTTGGCCATAACTTCTATAGATTTTAATATATTTAAAAATGGTTTTCGAATCTGAATTCAGCATGAAATTTCCAAGAAAATAATGTATCATATTTATCTTTTGAAATATTTTTTGGCCTTACGGCGATATCTCCAATATTAAATTGTCAATTCGCAACCCTTTGGAAAACACTCCTAAATTTCAATCATCAATCAGATAAAAGTTTACACGTTATCATTGGGAATCTAGCATGGCCCTCTTTAAATGGAGGATCACTTGAAATTATCATCGTGTATTTGACGAGCTTAAAAAATAGACATGTTTTGGGACACTTCATAAAATGAGTTAAAATTCGGCAAGGCAAACCACTTTTGCATGTGGAGCAGTAGTTCTAAATTATTTTAGATTGGTTAGGGTTAATTTTTTCTTTTTTACGCAATGCAGACTGAACCTTTTCATCTATCTAACAGAATTCATAGTTTAAAATATCTAAGGTCTACAACATTGGGTAGCAAAGATATCGGGATTAGAAATATAAGTTTGTGAACAACTCAATTCCTTTAGACATTCTTATCTAACAGAAGTCACAGCTTGAAATATCAAAAGTCTGCAACACCAGCTTGCAAAGATGTAGAGATTAGAAAATTATAATTTGAGGGGAATTTTTAGTTCTTTTTGTGTTCTTTTTTTATATTACTTACAAAGTGAGTAAAAAAGCGGCATTAGCTTTAGTTTGCAGACCACAATGAAAATGTTTTCAGAGTTCATGTTTGGGGGTAAAAATATCAAATATAGTAAGACAAGTGCTAATATTTTTTTTTAATTTTTCGCGTTGAAATAAAATTATTTAACAATTTTTTCTATAAAAAAAATCGATTAAAAAATCAGTTTTTTTTTCTATTCTAAAGTTTCATAAAAATCTATTGATGAATAAAACATAACACGCATTTTCCAATTGATAAAATATTGTTGCATTTTAGTAAGTATCTACATTTCTAAATTTTTTAACCTAAAACATGAACCATGCCAACTGAAGTTATGATTTCATGTAGTCAAATAAATATGAAACCCAGCGGCCAGCAATTGTGTTTGTTCACAAACCCGTTCCACTTAAGTTGATTTTTTTACAATTAGTAAATCATTTGCTTTATGACAGAAAATGCATATGTAAAATTTCTTAATGTCGTCTTCCTTTTCCGTAGTTTAAGTTGGTTTCATCAAACAAGATGTCCAAGAAACATTTATAAGATTTGAATTTTCACTAATAGCATGTTACAAGAAAACTCGTTTACACTTTAATTTTTTTAAATTTACTAATCCCTATATCTTTCCAACCCGATGGTTTAAACCTTGTATATTTCAATATTAATGGTCTATGACATCGGGTTGCAAAGATATATTAAATGAAAATTAGAGTTTTTGGCATAAACTCATTTTCTTTGAACTTGAAATGAAAAACCATAAGTCTTTGCTCTTATAATCATCAGTCGAATCTCTTACATTGATATATTAGAGACGTTTTGAAATGTTTTGATTGACAGAATTATTGTTACACTTTTGAAATTAAAACTCAGCCCTCATAGTCTAACGTTTTATGAACAACATTTTCATCAGACATATATCTAACGTTAGACTAATCATTTTAGTATTCAGAGAAAAGTTATGAAACATTTTTTTTAAATGTTATACGTTACATTATTGAAATTTATACTCTGTAAAAAAAACTTTCGTTTCCTGATTATTAAAATAATAACCCATTTCTGCAACGTTAAATTGTTCATTATACTATAAGGGAAAACGTTTCAAACGTTTTTCAGTTATACAACGTTACACTTTTTATAAGTTGAACTTTGAAATAGAAATCCTTTCGTTACGATATTCAATCAAATCACAATTCATTTTTCAAACGTTAGACTTTCAAGCTCCCCTTGGAAACAAACCATTTCTTTACGTTATGGTCAAAGAAGTTGTAGATATTAGAAAAACAACGTTACATTTCCACAAAACGCTAACGTTGGGGGTATATTCCTCTAATGTTAACGTTTAACGTTAACGTTAGGTATGCGCTCATATAACGTTAACGTTTAACGTTCATGTTATATAGAATATATCCAAACGTTACACATTATTGTAACGTAACGTACAAAAACGTACATTTTACGTTACGTTACACTATCGTTGACATCTCTACTACAGAGAGAGAGAAACATAATTTGTCCTAAACTTCAATTGCACTCTACATTATTGACATTAGGGAATGACATAATTTTTCCTACAAATGATAACATTATTGGTTATATACTAATGTTTAAAAATAGAAAATCCGCAAAAAAATTTGGCACAAATCTCGCAATTTATTTATTTATTTATCATTTGATAACAATAAGACCTTTTCACACAATATCATTTTTAAGAAAAAAAAAAAAAAATTTCTTTGTTTATTTTCACCAGAATGTTTATTCTACAGAAGAAACATTTTTACAGTTATTTAATAACCTGGACAATAAATGTTACAGTAATTTTATAGTTAACTAATTTGTTTTTTAAGAACATATTTTTAAATAGAAATTTGTGAAAAAAATGTTTTGTGATCAATTGAACCCTACAGAAACTGATAACTGAATGAGATTACTTCGTTTCGATGATATAAGTTAATTTTATGTTCTCAATCTGTTCATTAACAACAGATAAGTTAAAATTAAAAGTGTCCCAGTTATCAAATAATTGTTAAAAACTTTCTAATGAGCACCATCCCCATCGGTAAACTTTTACAAATGAACTCCACTTTAACTTAGATAAAAAAATGTAAAACTGTCTCATATGGATTTCTAAAACTTTTTCTTTAATACTGTACTCTTGGTTCAAATTTGTTATATAGCCTGAGGCCGAATTTAATATATATATATATATATATATATATATTATATATATATACCATTGTAATGGATATAATTAAGTGTAAAAAACTTTTTGCTGAGATTTTTATTTTTTCTAGTCTGTTTGAGATTAAATGTATGTATTTTCACACCAAAGTGAGGTATGAAAATACTTTCATTTAGATCGAAAACAAACTAGATAAAGTAAAAAATCCCAGCAAAAAACTTGTTCGCAAAAATGATACCCATTACAATGACATATATATAGTTTTATTCAACTTTACACAACTTATTTAAAATGTTTAAAAATTTAATAGTTCATCATATTAAGTAAGTTTTAAATTATTGAACAAATAACTCAGGATTTAAATTTTTAAACCAATATTCATTTTTTAATAAATTTTTATTGTTTATTTAATTGGTTTGGTTAACAGTTTACTAAAAATCCACAAACTAGAAATAAAATCCTTTATCTATTATGTTCTTCTAAAGCATTGATCTAAGGTGCACACATGTTAATCTTTGCTCCTTTTAACAAAAAGCATTGATATTGATGTTAAAACTAAAGCTTGTGTATTGAACGTCAACAAGTTTGTGCTGGACCCTGGGATATTGTCCCCGTTTTGGCTTGTGAGGAAGGCTACTGTTTGGCTCGCCTACTATGGAGGTCTCCGACATGTGGAGACCATAAACTTGACAATAGAGATGTGCAAGTCTACTCCAAGCTGTTGTGTATGTTAGTTACTAAAATGCGGGCAAAGCAACAAGAGAAATTCAAGATAAAAGAAAACTTTTGTCTTTAGTAGAACAATTATTGTTAAAATATAAACGAAAACTCAGAAGTTCCAAGTTTTAATACATTTATCATATAAAAAAAGTTACTTTTTCGCCATCGTAACAGTTTAAATTCTATAAATTCAGCCTCTGTTTACCTTGTCATATTTTCATTCATATTATTTAATTTAACAAAAGTTTAGAGGTTGATAAAGAACCTATAGAGAACGTACTAAATTCACTACCTGTGAGATGATGTGTAATTTCCCCCTTGAATTCTGTTTATTACCATAGGAGAGTTCTCCCTTCCACACTCATTAGAACAGCTTTCTTTATAAAAGATGTTCAATAAAATTTTAAATAAGCCATGAATTATGATTCACCTATTAAACCTTTCAAGATATTTTTGTTTTTAACTTTTTATGTATTTGTTTGTAAATTAATGCAGGAGGATTAAGAGTTTGTTTGCTAATTTAACTCAAAGAGACTGTAATTTTAAAATACAAGGTGTCCAACGAAATATAACAGTTGGTGAATAGTTTTGAATGTCTTCTTCCATTTGCTGTATCAGATATAAAAGACTTTTTGAAGTTTATTTTGTTTAAAACTCTTTTAGTTAAATTAACCCTATTCCTGCTGGGGGGTCAATTTGACCCCCCCCCTGTAGTTTTTTTTACATAACTCAAAAAGTATTGGTCTGAGGCTGTTGAAATTTTCTGACTTTTCTTACATACCCAAAGCCCTCCCTTTATTACCGGAGATATAAAGAGTTTGGTTCAGATTTCAATTTTGTTAAATAAAAGCAAAATTGTCGAAATCTGAACGAAATTCTTCATATCTCTGGCAATATTGAAAGCACAAAAAAGGCAGACCACATTTTGGAAATGGCAGGACAAGGGAAATTTTGTGATTATTATCTCTAGAAATTTACTTCTAAAATTAAGTTGACAAATAAACGTAAAATTATATCAAAAATCAAGACGACATTCAAGTCGTCCTGCATACTGTCATGTTTAGTGGGACACCCTGTATCATCAAGCAGTACATAAATCATCAAACAGTACATAAATCATCAAGCAGTACATAAATCATCAAGCAGTCCATGAATCATCAAACAGTACATAAATCATCAAACAGTACATAAATCATCAAGCAGTACATAAATAATCAAGCAGTACATAAATCATCAAGCAGTACATAAATAATCAAGCAGTACATTAATCATCAAGCAGTACATAAATAATCAAGCAGTACATTAATCCTCAAGCAGTACATAAATCATCAAGCAGTACATAAATCATCAAGCAGTACATAAATCATCAAACAGTACATAAATAATCAAGCAGTACATAAATCATCAAGCAGTACATAAAACATCAAGCAGTACATAAATCATCAAGCAGTCCATGAATCATGATACAGTACATAAATCATCAAGCAGTCCATGAATCATGATACAGTACATAAATCATCAAGCAGTATATAAATTATCAAGCAGTACATAAATCATGAAGCAGTACATAAATCATAAAGCAGTACATAAATCTTTAAGCATTGCATAAAGTCAGTGAGCAGTACAAAAGCTTGATAATTACATGATTAAGGAAGGATCAACCATGTATAAAGAATAATAAATGATAAAAAGCAATGTTGTGAAGTGTTGTGAGTAGATTCTAATTTAAAAACTACTAAAATCATTTTAAATTCATAATTTAGGGATTTCTGAATTTAAGAACAAGAATTTACAATATTTATTCTTTTAACTTTAGAAAAGTTTTAGTTATTTTTACCTGGCAAATTCTGACATTGAACTTTTGTTAATTTTTGTGGATTTGGATTTCTAGCTAAACAATAGTTGGCTCCTTTGTCATCTTGCAACATTTTCGAATCCTGAATTTTGAAAACCTTTGAAAAATGTTGCTTGATTTTTTCCTTTTCTAATTGTTAGAGAAAAGGAATTCGTTTCTTAGACTTTCCGGGCACTATGTGGTCATCATCTATTTCAACTTTTAATTGCGGTTTATCTGTGACTGTGAGCATTTTCATGTTATAACATATAAAATCATTAAAAATTAATTTCAAACATTTTCGAAAATCAAATTGCAATTTGACAACTAGTAAAGTTTAAACCCCCCAATTCCTTTAAATTGTATTTGAAATTTTTTTCACAGCTTTATGTTTTCTCATACAAATTTTACCTGACTTAGATAGAAAGAAAGTTTGCTTAAACAAACTGCAGACATAATTTTAAGTGACCAGCTTATGCTTATGGATGAAAATTGAGTGGTAGACTGTATGTGTACAGTGTACAGTTTTCAATATACAGTGTACAGTTTTCTGTGTACACTTTACACCTCATGCTATGGGTGTACAATCTAATACTGCACAGCTGTATATTGTATAAATAAGAATATCTATGAGAACCAAAGAGAATAGAATATATATTAGAGTGGTATGAATTTTGTCAGTCCCTTTCAGCCTGAAAGGGAGTTCAAAGTGTACAAATCATGTAAATGTTCACAAATTATTTGCAGTAGACTACATTAATACAGTATGTTCCCTAGACTATCCATTTAAATTTCGAATTTTTTAAAGCTGTTAAATAAATTTTATAAAATGAATTATGTGAATAAAAAACATCATTTGATTTATAGTTATAACGGAAAATCATCGTTTGTAAAGTGAAAGGCATAGTGTTTATGTGAAATGATCATTGGTCTATTATGAAACCAGCCTATTTCATAATTTGGTTTTCTTTTATTATTAATTTTAGATTTTCTATAAAATGATGTTCCAGGGCCCAAAAGGTTATATAGCATAAATATGTGAAGTACACCTGCAGTATGGAAACAGTACAACAAAATGGCCGTTTTACACTTTTTTTCTAGTAAATTCCACTCTAATTTATATTATATTCTCTTTGATGAGAACCTTAATCAGACAAAGGTTTAAAATAATATCTGTTGTAAATCGGATATGACACTCTTATAGTTGGAGGATCACTTGAAATTACATATACAGTCCCTTTAATAACCTGTTTACAACCAAGGTGCACTGGCGGGGATCCTGGGATCACATTGAACTGTTTTCTCCCCTGAACTTTAACCCTGCCACTAGGACAGGTGCTAGATGCTGATCCATATGTTCTCAGTAAGAAATAACACAATAGTATCAATAGGAGTCTCATTACTCCTTTGTTCATTTTTAGACTGATTTCAAATAGAATAATACAGGTATTATATAGACGGGTGTGTCAAAGAAATTAAGTTTTCTAATTCCTTGATCGGGTTGTAAAGATGGATTAGAAAATTAGAGTTTATGGCAAAAACTCAATTACTCAGTAAATTTCTTCTTAAAAAGCTTTAAATGTGCAAGAGAAACTAAACACAACTAAAACTAAAACTAAAATAGCAACAACTCTAATTTTCTAATTCTTTTAATTTTTAGCTTTAGTTCAGTTTGAAATATCAAAGTTTAGATTTTTTTTAAAACAATGTAATGAAGAAAATAAAAATGAATCGGGAAAATAAAAAAGCTTTGACTGTTTATGCATTGATGGATAGGATGTACAGGGTGTACAGGGTGTCCCACGAAACATGACAGTAGCAAGAAGACTTGAAGGTCATCTTTGATCTTTGAAATAAATTACGACATTTATTTGTTAACTTAATTTTAGAGTTAATAATAACAAAAAATTTTTACACTGAACAATCACAAAATTAAGAACCTTTAAGAACACCCCAACTTCTTCACTTTTTAAAACTTCATATATATTGTGAACTAATTTTGCAAAACATTTTATTTAGATATATATGGTAGGTTGGACACAGTCAAACAGCTGGTCTGTGTTTCTAAACAAATCAAAATAGTCAATAACTTTTTTTATAATTATGCTACAGATCTAAAATTGTATATTTAAAAAGCCCTTGAAAAATGGAATCATTGATTGTGTCAAAATTTATATATTAGTTATTTATGAGATTGCACTTTTTTGCATATAATTGCAATTTTTAAAAAAGGAACTGATTACTTGCCTAAAACTCTACTTTGCAACCTGATGCATGATGGCACACTGCAAAGACTTTGCTAATTATAAAGACGAGGGGTTGGAAATTTATCCGACTATTGTGTACACGATGCCAGTACAGCTGTATTTTGACGTCATTGGCTATTTTGGTTATTTGAGAGTCTAACGATCCGACATTAAAACCTTAGTTATTTAACAAAATTGTAAATGTTTTGTGCTAAAATATAACTAATATTAACGATATTTATCTGTATTTTAAAATTTATTAAATCATTTGTTGGATATGAGGATCGTCTGCTGAATTAGCAAAGTCTTTGGCACACTGCAAATCAGGACGCTCTCACACAACAATCCAGCAGTATGTTGCCAACTACTCCTTTAGAACTTAAGCTAGAAACAGACGCCAGGAATTAAAAAAAAAATATTTCCATCTTGCCCCCCCAAAACAAATGTCTAGTTGCGCGTCTACAGGTTACCACCACACAAGGACATATTCAGACATTAAATTAACTTCGTATCAATTTTCAATTTCCTAATTTCTATTTTATTAAATTTTGGCCCTCAATTTAGAGTTTGTGTAACAAACCTAATTCAACGTAGCAAAATCATAATTTTGGTTTTCTCTAAGTTTTTTAATATACCTTCATTAGTTTGATTCTGTGCTGAACTATCAATTTTGGTCAATTTGCTTGAAGGGACTGTAAAGGAAAATTAAAAGGGGGTATAGGCTGAAAGCTAATCACTTTAGCACTCGATCGCGACCCATGGAAGTCATATCTGATGTTCATATCTCGAGAAATTGATATACAACTTTGTCAAATTTTTATAGGAAAATTAATATACATACAATTTTGTATAAAAGTAGTGGGTTTAAAAAGATAAAATTCAGCAAATAAGCAGCCAATCTGAAAACGATGATATCACAGAGAAAGCTAATTGTAAATTAGGTTTACTTTTATATTTGTTATTTCTATTTTTAATAGATTTCATTTATTTAATATTATTTATACGTCCGTATTACTTGACCAGAAATTGGTCACGTGATACAGACGGAGACACGTTATCAGTATACAGCTCTGTCTTTGGTGATAGTTCTGGTCATGTGATTTAAGTTTAAGATTTTATCAATTTTACATATATGAACTTTCGTATAATTTTAACACAGTTTTAAATCAATTTCTCGAGACAGGAACATCAGATAAAACTTTCATGGGTCGCGATCAAGAGCTAAAGTGATACCCCCTTTAATTTTTTTCTTTACAGTCCCTTTAAAAGTATCATGTCTTGCTTAAAAATTTACATTTTTCGCAAAACTTATGGTTTTGCGCAAATTGGCTCAAAAACGCGCAAAACTTATTGTGCTTCATGCGCAAAAGTTTGCAAAAAAAAATTTCATGAAATTTACGCAAATTTTGCGCAAAAAATTTTGTCATTTCGTGGAAACCCTATTTTGAAAAAATGCAACAAAAAATATAGGAAAAGTTTTTGCGCTCTTTTTACGCATTTTTTTAGTGTCTGATTTAAGAATTGAGTGTCTGTGTAAGCTATATATAAAATGTGTAGAATAGGAAGCCGGGAGATCTGTAGTTGATAGGAGGAGGAGGGGGGGGGGGGTGATTTGATGGAGAAAGCCACACAGTGTCAAATTAATTAGTTCAGTTTTTCACCGCTAGGTGTCTCTAAATCTTTACTTTAAAATTAAATAAAAGTAAGAAAGTTTAGATTCAATTTTTAACTAAAAGTTTACAATTTTGAAGTCAATATTTGGGTTTAAAAATCATATTTACTTTTTAAAATAAAATATCCTTATTAAAAAAGTGCACTAAATTTTTAATCAGAAAGTTGTATATATCGTTTATAATTCTTCATCCTTTTGTAGTGGTTATAAAACAAAAACAGTTCCATGATTGTTTATCAATTGTAATCCTCTGCTTACTGACGTTTACATACTGTCATATTTAAGAGAAAACTACACATTGATACTTATTGTGCTACAAAGAAAATAATGGAAACGGCACCGATTTGCCTCAAATTTTGACTGTGGAATCCGGTAGAACTACGGGAATGTTCTTATCCTGGTTTTATTTTAAGTTAGGTGGTTTGACTTGTTTTGAGAAAACTCCAGTCAAAGCTGGGTTCACATTTTATTTTTATTTTAAATGTAAAAAAATTTCTTTAAGGTTAAAAAAATAGGAAGGGGGAGTGGATATTTAACAATTTTCAGCACAGGGGTGAAGGTAAATATGTAGAAACAAAATTTGAAAATAAAAATATAAATTGATTTTAAATAATTTCGCTGTGGACAGTGGCGTACGAGGGGGGGCCGCGCCCCCCCTCGCCCCCCTCTACACGTGCCCCCCCCCTGGGAGGCTGAGGGGGGCACCCATAGGGGAGGTTCTTTTAATATTACATCTGCTTGCATTTCCCTTCCTCAGGCCAGGCACAGTGGTGTACCTAGGGGGCAGTAGTCCTCCTGCCCCCCTGGAAAATATAAAATTAAAAGGAAACTATGTTTAAAAAGTAACACCTTACAATGACAAAGACTAAGGATTTGTGTAAATTCACTGTTAATACAAGGAGAGAACAGTTTTAGCCTTCTAAAGAGAATACTTCATTACACAAGATGTACTATGACGGAGAGCAGACTTAACGATCTTGCACTTATAGCTTTTTTACACCCTATAAGGCTGTCTGAGCTCTCTACTGAAAAAAAACATTGAAATGTTGTGCAAGCAAATCCCAGAAAATTGAAGCTTAAAAGAGTTGGTGAATATGTAGATTGAGTATATTCTATCTAAAAATTTAGAAGAATTTCGTTTATTAGTAAAATATAATTTTTAATGATGCTGTGATTATTGATTTAGTTAGCTGTGATGGAGTTAAGTGATAAATTTATAAAGTTAAAAAGTTAGTTTTTCAAGCAAAGGAATAATTTTTAGACTCTATAAGGTTAATAACCCATATCTGTGTCCCGGCCCCTAAACAAATGCCCTAGTACGCCCCTGGCTGTGGAAGACATTTTTTAAACCAAAAAACTCTAAAAACACATAAAAAAAACACTACCTCCAGGTTCCAACACACCAATGGACCCAGGGAATAGGAATAAACAAATGTAATTTATGAAAAAGGAAATAATTCAGAATTTTTACAATAATTGATGCTACTAAAAAAAATCATATCAGATAATATATATTTTGTATTTAATTTTATTTCAACAATTCATTAAACTATTAGTGTTTAGTGAATGTGAAAAATAGTAAAGATAGATTTGTTTTCTTATCTGTAGTTTTTATATATATATAGTTTTTTATATATATATTATTCCTGCATGTTGCAATAATATAATTTTATTCTCTAGTTGTAAAGTCTCATATATAACAGCCTTCATAGCTCAGTGGCAGAGCGCTGGTCTTGTAAACCAGAGGCCGAGAGTTCAATCCTCTCTGGAGGCATATTTTTATCAATGAGTAGTTTGTCTCATGTCTAATCTCTATTAAGAAAAAAGAATTCAAATATTTCTCAACTTTTTTTGCATCTTTATTCATCATAATTAATTGATGTATGAAAGTATATTATTTGTTAATCTAAAAATAAAAACCAAAACTGATGTCCAACAATCTCACAAGTCCCAACCAGTGGCGTACGAGGGGGGGGGGGGGGAGACCGCCCTATCATGATCAAGATAGTTAGTTCAAAGACCCTTGATCATGATCAAGATAGATATAGTTCCAGGACTCTTGATCATGATCAAGATAGTTAGTTCCAGGACCCTTGATCATATCAAGATAGTTAGTTCCAGGACTCTTGATCATGATCAAGATAGTTAGTTCTAGGACCCTTGATCATGATCATGATAGTTAGTTCCAGGACCCTTGATCATGATCAAGATAGTTAGTTCCAGGACCCTTGATCATGATCAAGATAGTTAGTTCCAGGATCCTTGATTATGATCACGATAGTGAGTTCCAGGATCCTTGATCATGATCAAAATTGTTAGTTCCAGGACCCTTGATCATGATCAAGATAGTTAGTTCCAGGACCCTTGATCATGATCAAGATAGTAATAGTTCCAGGACTCTTGATCATGATCAAGATTGTTAGTTCCAAGACCCTTGATCATGATCAAGATAGTTAGTTCCAGGACCCTTGATCATGATCAAGATAGTTAGTTTCAGGACCCTTGATCATGA